GTCTTTGGCTTTTTCTAAGATTAGAACTATTCTGATTCTATAGTTCACTGACTCTAGCAACAAGAAAGAATTCCTATCCCTGAGCCCCAGTTCAGCTGAAACATTTCTTAACCCATCTTTTAAAAATAAATTCCAATATTTTTCTGCACATGCTAGTTGAATATGGTATCTATCAATGCATAGAGTATCCAAAACATATTTACCCTGAAGTTAGATTACTCAGTTTCGTTTTCCAAGAAAGTACAGTCAATACTTAGTTATTAGTCTTTTATAGCCTGAAGTGTGAAAGACTCTTTTCATGCCAGTCTTTTGATAAAATTATGTAGTTTTACATTTTGTACATTTTTGCAACAGAAAGAGTTGGAATATTTAATGAAAAATAATTACAATCTCCAAATTCCATCTCCAGTCCAGCTGGATTAGTTTCTGAGAAGAAAATATATGTATTCACAGCCATTTATTTTCCTATATGAAATTAAAATCAGATTGAAGGAAGGCAATTTGGAAATAAAAAACTAATTATAGTAATACAATTTAGAATTAAAAATATTAGCATATTTATAATTGTCCTACCACTCAATGACTACTTCAGCTTCAACCGTAACAATACAAGAGCACACAACAGATACAAACTCAGTGTTAACCACTCTAAACTTGATTGCAGAAGGTACGACTTCCGCATGTTTCTACTTATACCTATTATCTTATAAGCGATTGACAAATTAAATAAATAAATAAATAATATCTTTTTCCTTTTTTTCTCTTGAGGTCTGCTATTAGGGAGGGAAGGAAGGAAGGAAGGAAGGAAGGAAGGAAGGAAGGAAAGCAGTTACTTGCTAGGAAGTATCCTGTTATATGTTGTTTTAACTTATGATTTGACTTGTCCAGAGTTAGTTAAATTATCGGCAGATATATAAATGTTTTGAATAAATAAATGTAAATCTAATTAAGGGATATTAAGCCAAAGTTTAAGTAGTGGGTAAAGGTATGAAAACTCTTGTAATTTCAAAAATTCAAACTTCTGCCATACCATTTCTTAGTTGTATTACTACAATGCACTCTACATGGGCATGCCCTTGAAGACCATCTGAAAACTGCAACTGGTTCAGAATGTGACAACATGTGAGTTTTGAGCACTTCACTCTCCTCCTATTACACCATTTCTGTGTAAGCTGCATTGGCTTACACTTTCTTTCCAGGTACAATTCGAGGGGTTGGTTATCATCTTTAAAACCTGAATCAGTCTACTTGTAGGGCAGCAACTGCCTGTCCCATCAGATCAAATAAGGTGGGCTCCATTCCAGGTTTCTTATTTAAAAATCTGTCATCTAGCAGGATCCAGAAAGTGTGCCTTCTCTGTAGCTACCCCTGTAGAATAGAACTACACCACCTTCGGTCTGACCTAAGAGTAGTACATAAAATTATCCATTACAACGTCCTACCCATCAATGACTACTTCAGCTTCAACCTCAACAATACACGAGCACACAATAGATACAAACTCAGGGTAAACCACACAAAACTCAATTGCAAGAAATACAACTTCAGCAACAGAGTGGTCAGTGCCTAGAATATTCTACCTGACTCTGTGGTTTCTTCCACTGACCCCCAAACACTTTAACCTCAGACTGTCTACTGTTGACCTCACCCCATTCCTAAGAGGTCTGTAGGGGGCGTGCATAAGCACACCAATGTGCCTACCATCCCTTTCTTAATGTTCCCTTTTATTCGTATCTATTTCATGTATTAATAATCATGTTTATACTTATATATATATTATCAAATGCATTCTTGACAAAGTAAATAAATAAAATAAAATAAATATATATCTTTTCTGTAGAGATCCATCAGGCCCCAACCTTCCTTGCTGTCTGGAAGATCTTGGGAAACTGTGTCTTGCCAGAAGCATTGGAGTAAGATGAAGTCAGAACCCAGCAAGATGATGTGTAAGTATAGCACAGTGCTACCTTGGAGTGCCTTGAGTTTTATAGATTTATATTGTGTGGTTTGGGGGTTTCTAATTGTTTTTAATGATTCAGATGGCACTCAGTTTTATTGTTACATTGTGGATAGCTATATAAATCTGTTTTAAAAAATAAACACATCAATGCATCAAAAATTATTATTCAAGGTACTCTCTTATATTCAGATAGTCCTTGACTTACAACCACAATTGAGCCCAAAATTTATGTTGCTGTGAAACATTTGTTAAGTGAATTTTAACAAAAGTGAAACATTTGTTAAATGAATTTTGCCCCATTATATGACTTTTCTTGCCATAGTTGTTAAGTGAATCACTACAGTTATTAAGTTAATAACACAGTTGTTAGGTGAATCTGGCTTCCCCATTGATGTTGTTTGTAAGAAGATTGACCCCGGGACACTGGAACCATCACAAATGTGAGTCAGTTGACAAGCATTTGAATTTTGATAATGTGACTATGTAGATGCTGCAAAGATCATAAGTTTGAAAAATGTTCATGTCATTTTTTTTCAGTGCTATTGTAACTTTGAACAGTCACTAAAATGAACTGTTGAAAATCGAGGACTACCTGTATTGACTAATCAGAGAGAGTCCTAAATAGTAAAGGAACTTACCAAAGAATAATCACATTTTTAAAACAGTTGAACCTAGCTGTTAAGGAAGACCTTAACAGTTGTTTTCATTCCAATTGCTTTTTAAAAATGAACATAAATAAAAATATGTTTTACTTTTAAAAACAACTGTTTTGCTTATCATGCTTTATTTAATGAAATCATTCACCACCTAGGCAAAGAAACTGCAAAAAAACTGGGTCAATACTCCTAGCTGCAGATAGGTAGACTGGGACTCACAAAAACTTCCACAATGTCAATGTGTTAGTATTATTTTCATTGGTAAAAATCCATTCCATGTTGCAAAACGCCAACATGGCAACCTTCAAGGAACTACTCCAACTTTATCTTGGTAATAGGCAAAACTGCATTAAAAAAAAAGTCCACATTTCACACATTGGTTTGAAATTAATAGCCAAACTTCTGTTGTCTTTCCTAATACACTAAATTTTGGGAAACCCAAGAAAACCTGTATGCAACCAACCATCTATTGACTATATAAATAGTCTATCTTTAGATTTACCTTTAAATTTGTAAATGGAGTAATTTTCTCACTGAAAATATAACTGTGATGTGCTTTTCCCCATTTAACCATATGCTAAATAAATAATAAGTGTATTTCTTGTACTCCAAATAAAAAGGAAGGCCTCCAGAATGATGTATGGTTCTCAGACTTTTTTTAAAGCAACTACCCCCAACTTGGATATGTAGACTTTTGCAACTCTTGAGCTAGCATGCCCTCAGCTGAGGTTTCTGAGGGGTTAATCTGAACTTTAAGTCGGATTTAATGAACAGTATCTTGTTTATCTTCCCTTTTTTTCCTTTGCATCAAAGTTTAGCTTAATATGGAGTAATCTTCAGGAATACTGAGAATTGTTTTTTTTTTTTCTGAAAAGTACCATGGATAAGTACCATAAGTAGGAAATGCTATTCAGTCCAAAGTGCTGGTCTAGTAATCAGCAGTCTAGAAGAAAGGGAATACAAGAAGACCTCTCTTCATTTGAATCATGAGTACTCTGTATATTTCACTCCAGCTTGATTTTTAGCACCCTTGTGATAGTGCTAAAATGGTAGCACGATGGCTTATATCTGTGGAAAACATTGCTCTCTTATTCAAAGGGTGTTTTCATTTGATGAACAAAATGAAATGAACAGTCCTGGTGCACTGAGGTGAACTGGAACTGAATGCTGAAAGACCAGGCCCAACTTTTCTGCTAAGGTTGTTGTTTAACTAATTTCAGTTAGGCTCCAAGAAAAATGTATGGTTTCTAACATTTTAATTCTTAAATGTAATATATTATTACCAGGCAATATTAATTAGTGGATGAAAAAAGGAGCTCAGCTGAATGCCCCAGACCAATTCCCAAAAGGCTGAGTGTAGGAGATGCAAACCCAGGCCCTGTCTCCAATTGTAAAACAACAGCATCTTTTCCAGGGATTATGAAGAACTTGTACAGGACCACTGTACAATCCCAAAAGAAAACACAGCTACTTTAAAGAACAGCTTTAAAAATAGAGTTTTGGTTGCAATATTTTGCTGGACTCTTTCACTATTTAAAAATCATCTTCTCAAAATTTGTGCCATCTTTTAGTATACAATGGCATTAAAACATGACCATTAATGTACATCTTTTTTCAAAATTCTAAATCCTTTTGCATCCATATCTGTAAACATATGGGTTCATTGTTTAAACATTCTTTAAATTTCTACATACAATTATCAGACAGATTCAGTAATAACATTTAATTTCCACATAACTGAATGAAAAGGGTGGCAGTCAAGATGTAGCAATCAAGAAAGCATAATCTTTGGGGAATCTTTGGCCCATTCTTATCAAAATCTTTCTTTTTTTCTTTTTAATTATTTCTCAGTTTTCTTCATTTGCTGAGAAATATGTTGCCATGAGGAAAAATAATAATCACCAAAGTAACATAATGGCTTTATCATGTTTTGAAGTCCAAGAGAATCAACACTTTGTGTTCAATTGTTCATGTAAATCCAAATGCATTTGGATTTATATTAATAAATGAACACAAACCTTATCTTAATATAAAATGAGAAGAAGAAAAGTAACGGCTAGGCAGTAGAATCTCTTCAAAGTTAATATTTAGAAAATGCCATGGATTCTCAGTTACTTTTAAAAAGTGAGCCAGTGCATGGAGATTATATTTAGCTGCATTATAACATACGAAGCAGGAATCTTTCCATTTCCAGCACAAAGGAATAGAGCATACAATTATTTGTAACACATCAGTTCCTGCATTGCACAATTAATCTTGAAAAAGCCTGCGTGTTTCCATACCTTACCATTTATGGTAGCAGAAATCAAATACTAGGAAAGTTAGCTATAAACATCCATTTTCAAAAACTATCATCAGCAAGTTCACAGGGAGGTAGTCTTTTTACAGCGACAGATTTGCTCCTTGGGGGCCAGCATGGAGCTGATCTTTGCAGATCAGTCTTTTTCCAAAAATCCATGAACTTCTAAGTCACATTTCAAAGGCGGTAAGCATAACTTCTGAAAAGTTTCTTTTCAGCAATTCTGTGTGTACAATGCTTCTGAATAACATGAACATTTCTTGAACTATTAGATTCCTATTAGATTATTACCAGATTTCAGAAACATTAAACCTTATTTTAAGTAAAAAGAGAAACAAAAAATACAAGGAAAAAACTTATAGTTTTGTGTATATGATATTAAGATGATGAGTTTTAGTTTATGGGCACACAGTGGCAGGACCATAGTTTCATTTAGTGATAATGAAATATCATTTAATGTTTTAATGAAACGGATTTGAACTGGATGTTTTTGAAATGTCCATTCCTGCTTTCTTGAAGGGATTCAGTGTTTTGAAATGCTTTCATTTTTTAAATGACATTATTTTAGAATGCAAATTAATATTGAGCATGTCTATAGTAAGTATACGTAATAGAAAATACAGAAATGTCTAGAGTGCCAATTGTGAAAGTAGATATTTGTAGCAAATAAGTAAAAGTTGTGAAGGTGAGGGGTGGAATGTTCTAATTTTAGGTAATCAGATGGATTTCTTTAAAAGTACCTACATTTGGATTTCAATTTTTTTAGTACATTAGGGTTATTAATCTTGTAATAGCAGCATTAAATTGAAACATTATTCCACTGTTTCATATCAAAAGTCATACCTGTGGTTCTGTTATCAACAGTGCCTTTATCACTGAACTATATAATGTACAGATAAAGAAAAATATGACATGGAACCAAATGTTATATAACAAAGATTATCCCTGTTCAACAGTGATCTCAATTCATTCTGATCTGTTTTACTAATTTTTCTGACTCTATTCTCTTTTTCTAAATGTACAACCTTGAATTTTTCCCAATTTCCAGTGTAGACTCTCTCTTGCCCCCCCCCCCCCGCACCCCATATACAGTTTGTCACAAAGAGAACTGATATTTGTAGAAATATTGTTCACTTTTTAAAATAAATACATAGAGAGATTGATATTTCAGAGATTAAGGAAAGAATGATGGCTCTGATATATCTTCTCAATAGAAAATGAGCACCATTGCATAAGTTATGTAGCATAACAGCAGATAAAGAAGAAGCAAAAAATAAATCTACTGTTTAAAAATTAGGTTTCTTATGAAAGTGGGTTTTTTAAAAAAATATTTATAATTTATATTTAATGATTACTGTAAAATTGTTCTGGGAAAAGATTTACAATATGTTCTTGTTTTGCTGGAGAAGGCACAGGTGTAGAGTTAGACTAGAATAGAATAACAGAGTTGGAATGGACCTTGCAGGTCTTCTAGTCCAATCCCTGCTTAGGCAGAAAACCCTACACCATTTCAGACAAATGGTTATCCAATCTCTTCTTTAAAACTTCCAATGTTGGAGCATTCACAACCTCTGGAAGCAAGTTGTTCCACTGATAAATTGTTCTAACTGTCAGGAAATTTCTCCTTAGTTCTAAATTGCTTCTCTCCTTGATTAGTTTCTACCCATTGCTTCTTGTCCTACCCTCAGGTGCTTTGGACTCCCTCTTCTTTGTGGCAGCCCCTGTATGTCAGGGTATATCAGGACAAATTGAGATTCAATTGGATGGAAGAACAAGAGTTCAAGAATTATGGATTCTAAAATTCATAATGGTGGGATTTGAATAAGATGAAGAAGCATTATCCTTTCTTCCCTACTATCCACATTCCTTTAAAATCCCTAAGAACAAGTGAATTTAATGTACAGCGTGTGTGTGTGTCATTAATAATGATTCATTTTTGGGGGTCTATTTTAGCATTTAATGGAATAAGGCCCTGTTTTACTGTTTGTATTGTGAGCTCCTCTTGTGGTTTGTTCTTAAGAATATGCTGTTTTTATTACTCATGCTGAACATTGTTATAAGGTGAATTTATTGATTTAATAAATAAGTTCAAGTTTCCTGTGAACTTTTCTGAATACATTTTAAAAGGGCAATTTGTTGAGGTAATTCCCCGTTAGGAGAATGAGTGCATACAGGGAGACGTATTTGAGAATAGTGTTTGAATAATACACATACAGCACACAGATACACTGTACAGTAAATGTAGGGTTTTACTTTCAATAAAGGTTTAAGCAAAGTCCAAAATAGGCAGTCCAAAGTCATTCACAGGTAAAATCAGTCAGTTTTCATCCAGGGATAATCCAAATATCAAATTCCAGTGGCAAAAACAGTTCAGTATCAGACTTACATTAAATCCAGTAATATCAGTCAATTAGAAGAAATGGAGCAACGGCAATACTTTCCAACAGAAGGAAACAGAGATACACTCACACTCTCTTCTGAGACTCAGACTAAGACTAAAACAACCCAGGTTTCTGGCTCCATCTTATGGCTGTTTGAGTAACCACACCCAATTGCAGTCTTTAGCATGCTCTTAAAGAGACAGTATTAAAATGTCTATCCTGGTTTATATATTTCTAACCCAAATACCTGTTCGGTGACTCATATTCCTAACACAATTTATAAATTAAGGAGAACTTTTCTTTAAAAAAAAAAAAAAAGATCAGATCTGATTTTAGAAGAAAAAGAAAGGTATGATAAAAAATTGAATCCAAGACTGGGATAAACTTATGTACCAGGAATCCTACAACCATGATTGATTATGTGCCATCAAAGTCAATGTCAAATATTAACAACCACATCGATTTTCTCTACAAGGATCTTTTCTCATCATAATCCTACAGGTGTTCAATGGTGTTTACTGAGAGCATTTGCACCAAGACAAATTCCTTGTATGTCAAATCACACTTGGCCAAGAATTCTAATTCTAATGGTTCACACACTGTCACTGTAACTAAGTCCTTCCACCTCCCCAAGCATTAGGATCTTTTCTAGAAAGTGAGGTTTTTACATAATCTGAGGTAGGATCATTTGCACTTGACGTTTGTGCATTGAGTGAAAACTCTGGCTTAATGTATTCAATTGCCTACTTGTCTGTTTTCTTACCCCACCATGGTATACTCAGGAGTCTTCTCCAATACCAACCAGCAAAAGCTTCAATACAATTTCTATCCTTCTTCTTCAAAGTCCAACTTCTACTTCCATGGAGTCTTAGGGAAAACCATTGCTTGCATTATTCTGATCTTCATAGATACACACACATCATATCTAACTATCTTTTCCAAGGAGTTCCTGACTGCTTAAGTGCTAGTGTGTGGTATGATTCTTAACAACCAATTTATTTAATGTTGATGATTCTAGGCAGAAGCTATTCACCCCTTCAATATCTTCACTGTCAATTCTAAAGCTGGTTGCTATTTCTGTTGTAAGGCATCCAGAAAGTATCCATGATATCAATCACTCCGAGACATCTCTCTCCAAGGTTGAATTTATTAGAAACAGATCTGGCATGTCAAAGGCAATTTCCCAAGTGAAATTATTTTCGCACCTTACACAGAATCCACCTTCTCTCCTCCCTTCTCTCCTCCCACTTCTACACTTCATAAATCACAAGCACCAATTAAATGCCATTGGAATTACTTAATACAACATGCAGAATAACCTTGAACTTTTCAACTCCTCTAACTCTCTAAAAGGGAAAAAAAATGTGGCAGCTGAATTTTAAAGCTGACAGGCATCCCCCCTTCAAAATTCCTCCTCCTAAAAGAAAGGGAAAAAAACAGATACAGGGGTTAACACATTTTCCTTAACCCCCTCTTCCCCCCCATGAGGACCCTTCAGTTTGTGGAGAAAATCCTCATGGAATTAGTTAACCAATTGAGCAGCATGAACATCCCAACTCTTTACCCAACTAGCATCCAAGAGAGGGTATCCTTTTCATAAGACCAAATATTCCAATTGGCTACGGTGTAATCTAGAATTGAGAATTTTTTGAATTTCATAATGTGTTTCCCCCTGTACCATTAACGGTTTAGGGGAAGCGATTGGCGGTGGTCTTATTGATGTAGTAGCTAGTTTTAGTAAACTACAATGGAATACTGGATGAATTTTCCCCAATATTCAAGGAAGACTTAATTGGACAGTGACCAGATTGATTATCTTTGAAATTGGGAACAGACCCAAGAATTTTGGACCCAGCTTCTTACTGGGCAGTTTCAACATAAGATACTTGGTCAACAAATATATTTTGTTCCCCATTTTAAAAGGCGGTTGAAGGGATCTATGTTTATCCGCCTGTTTTTTTAAATATTTTGCAGCTTTGGTCAAAGCTTTTTTTGTATCTCCCCATCCTTTCTTTAATGAGTTCATCTATTCTGTTAGGGACATGGATGAGGGAGATTGTCTAGGTAACTCTGGCATCAGGACAAAATCCATTCCAGTGTTGGTTTGGAATGGAGTTAATCCCGTGCTGCTATGTACTGCATTATTGTAAGCAACCTCTGCAAAAGGTAATAACTCAGCCCAATTTTCCTGTTGATAATTTACATAGCATCAAATGTATTGTTCAATCATGGCGTTAGCCCTCTCCGCTGCTCCATTATAAGCAGGATGGAAAACTGAGGATAACCCTTGAGATGAACCAATGGATTTCAGAAATTCCCTCCAAAATTTTGCAGTAAATTGTACCCCTCTGTCTGATATTATTCTACGAGGTACTCCGTGTAGTCTATAGATATATTTCACAAACAGCTTTGCAAGTTTTTTTGCAGATGGAAGTCCTTTGCAGGCTATAAAATGGGCCTGTTTAGAGAATAAGTCAATTATAGTCCAAATGATCGCATTCCTTCACTCTTAGGTAATTCAACAATAAAGTCCATTGCGATCTCTTCCCAAGTTTGGGTTGGTTCAGCAACTTGTTGCAGGAAGCCAGGGGGTTTTCCAGTTCTGTGTTTCATTGTGGCACAAATTAAGCAACTTTTTACATAGTCCTCAACATCAGGGTTCATTTTTGGCCACCAGAACTGTCTTCTCAGTAAATGTAGGGTTTTTAGGAATCCGAAGTGGCCTCCCAGCCGGTACTCATGGCTACGCTTTAGTACCAGTAGTCTTAGGGTTGTGGATACATAAAGCTTAGTCCCTTTCCAAGC